ACTGTATACTCTATTGCAAAACATTTCTGCTCTTGTAGATTATAACTTGTATTCACTCAGCAAATAGCCAACTATGTTAGCTTGCAATGTGCTTCCTCTTTATGGCTTCTTTTGCTGCATCACTTTTGATATTTGTGTTCTTGTGCCCTTGAATATTGAAGCGATACATAAGCTCATACATGTTGTTGCATACAAATATCACCATGTTCCAAACTCTGTCTGAAATGCATTTTTTCCTTTGAAATTAAGAACTTCAATATAAAATCTGATTTCTCTGGATGCCTTAAGTGTAGTATCGTGTGTGTTTGTCAACATTGTAGCCAACAGAGTGTACTGCAATTTTATGATTTTTGAAGAACAGTTACGTTTTAAGTATCATTTATCTACTTTATTTTTAAGATCCGTGGTTTAGTTCTGTTGGGTTTTTTAAAACAAAGAAATGGAGAGCATTTCGGGAGGAAGATGATGAAAAACAGAAGCTGAAATGGAGAGGAGTATATGACTCCAACTCCCCTTTTCTCATTAACAAACTCTCCTATATATAGGAGAATACAAACATTTTAAAATTCAAATCTATTCTACATTAAAAACAATAAAGTACATTTGAAATTTAAACAAATAACAGCTGCAACTTGCGTCCTTTGGCAGCTCTGCAGCCTCTTTGCAGCCTTTCATGTGCATTTGCATTTCATGTGCATTTCATTTGCTGTTCATTGCAGCCTCATCTTCATCAACATTTGCAGCTTAGCTTGCTGCACATTTTTGCTGTCATTTGACAGCTTCAATTTCACCATATTTGCAGCTAAATTGCTGCACTTTGCTGCTACCGTCCTATTGGTGCAGCTCTCCCTTCTTCATTTGCTGCCATTTTGTGCAGCCCGTCATTTTTACTTGCTGCTACTTGGCAGCTTGAACACCACAACTCCAACAAGTTCAGCTAAAAAAATTGTTTGCTTTCAAAGGTTTGCAAAGTTGCTCCTATTGAGACCACGGTGTGGCAATACATAACACTTAGAAAAAAAATTCTGTTGATTGACTTCCCTGGAGTTAGTGACCAGACTGGCGACTCTGAAACAAATACCGTACTAGAAGGCATGGTATAAACGTTTCATGAAAATGGAGATGTTTCATTGCCCATTGGGTTTTGCATATTTATTCACTATTTTGTTATGTCAT